TGCCAATGCTGGCTTCTTGAAGGAGTACAAGGTATACTTTGGGCCGAGGGCTGACTGACAATGGGGACACAGTTCTACCTGCCCACCTTCACCTTTCCCGTCGCTTTCCCAGCTCCTGAGGCAGGCCATCAAGTATGAGACTGGCTCTCTGATGCCCCCTCCTGGCTACAACGAGAACAGCATTGTCCCCGGTGAGTCTCACTGCATACAATGTTGGTTGGGTGGGGGTGGATCGAATGTGTACTGGAGACTCACCCTCACCCTCCTTCTGCAGGTGATCCTTCTCAGACGCAGTTCTCACTGGTGGAGGAGAGTCCTGCTGACCGCACGCTGGAAGCCTGGCTCTTCCCGGTGAGAGGGTGCTGACATTCACTCGCTCTGTGACCATTCGCGCTTTCTGAGCCGGGGCTGGGTCCTAGGGGCTCCCTTGGCAAGAGCAAGTGAGGGACGGACAGGAGATAACCTCAATCCCCCCCCCCCCCCCGAACCAACGAGCTGCTCCCTGCAGGGTGGGCCGTCTGGCCGGGACCACGTGGTGTTGACTGGCCCTGCCAGACCCAAGGAGCTCTGGGAACTGGTGTGGAAACATGGTGCCCATGTGCTGGTCTCCCTGGGCCTGCCTGATACCAAAGAGAAGGTGAGGGGAGTGGATGGGCAGGGATGGGGCCCAGGAAGGGGAAGTATGCGGTGCTGTTCGGCTGGGGCGTGGGCAGAGATTTGGGAAGCTGACTGAGAGGCCCCTTTTGGTCCCAGCCACAAGACTTCTGGCCGACGGAGATGCAGCCTGTTGTCTCAAACATGGTGACGGTGCACAGAGTGGCGGAGAGCAACACAGCTGGGTGGCCGTGTACCCTCTTCAGAGTCATACATGTAGGTGTTGAGACCACAGGGCATGGGGTGGAGGATTGTGAAAATGAAATCCCCGTGCTGGCATCCCCCCCCCCCCAGCACCAACGCTGACCTTGCCCTTGTTCCAGGGGGAGAGTGGAATGGAGAGGCAGGTTCAACGCTTGCAGTTTCCATGCTGGGAGTCTGGCTGTGAGCTCCCAGCTACCACCTTGCTGCCCTTCCTGGATGCTGTGAGCCAGTGCTGCTCCCGAGGGAAGAGCAAGAAGCCAGGGACTCTGCTCACCCACTCCAGGTGCCGTCAGCAAACGCCCGCCCGTGTGTTAACTTGGGCTATGGCTCAAAGGGTAGTCTCCCAAGGCCTCTGCCTCCTCTGCTCCATCCCCAAGGGTTTGGTAGAGTTCTAACTCGGCTGGTTAACTAAGTACCTAGCATTCCTTCCCAGTGCGCAGGGCTAAATTTGGTTTTCCCGTGTCTCCAGACACTGGCCCTTTCCCAGAGGCCCCACGTCTAACTCTAGGTCAATTACAGCAAGGGCACAAACCAGCTGGGCACCTTCTTGGCCATGGAGCAGCTGCTTCAGCAAGCAGGGACGGAGTACACCGTGGACGTCTTCAGTGTGGCGCTGAAGCAGTCACAGGCCTGCGGCCTCATGACCCCAACTCTGGTGAGAAGGGGACAGGGAGGGCCTTGCTGTGAAAGGGATCGAAGCCAGGCAGGTTCTGTCCTAGCTACAGATGACAGTCAGGTAACCCCATTCGGGTGGCTCTGTGGAGCAACCCCCATGCCCTTTCCAGATGGAACAGGGGTTAGGAGACCCCTGGAGCCCCTTTCTGTCGGACCTGGGCAAGTAGGTGACATAGCTTGTCCATGTCTGACCACAGGAGCAGTATATCTACCTCTACAACTGTCTGAACAGTGCACTGCTGGACGGGCTGCCCTGAGATGGCCTGTGCTCTGCCCGGCGGCATGTCCCAGGCCTGGCCTCGCTGGAAGAGATCAGCCTCCACCAGGCAGGCCTCATGCTGAGAAAGGGCAGAGTCAGGAAATAAAGACACAAAGACACGGTCAAACTCATGGTTTTGTTCTGTTTCTCCATCCTTCAACCCTGGACAGGGGTGACAGCTGGGGCCTGCGTCTAGCTGAGCCGGCTGACCTGCAGCTGGCAGCTCTTGGCATTTTCCTGGCGTCTCCTCTTCTCTAACCTCTGCTTTTCCAGTGTGTTCGGACCTCAGCCTCTCTACCCACAGTGTCCTGCCACTAAGCCCCAGATCTGGGTCCCATTCACTCACTGTTTGTCACTGCAAACGTGCAGGACTTACTTAGTGTTTTATCCCTCATCTTGTACCATCTCACCCTCTTGCGACTATTCACAGCCACTGCAGGCTCCTCCACAGCGTAGAGGAGCTAGAGCCACATTGTGACCTTTAAGTTAGGAACCAGAGGTGGCTCTGATTGGACCTGCCAAGTTTCCTGGGTCCTTCACTTTCTTCCCCTCTTTTATATAGAAGAATGGGAAGGATGTGGAGAAGGGAAAGACTAGGAGACCCTTCAAAAAAGAAAGAAGAAAAAAGAAGAAAAAAAAGAATTGTGGATGAGGCTTTCTGTCCCAGACACTAAAGGGCTGGATTATATACTACGGGATGCAATTGCCAACAGCCTCACAAGTTCCCGCCCCCCTCCAAGTCAGATGCTAATGACAGCGAGCCTGATGATTGGAGCCTGATTGCCACAGGAGGAATTTGGGAGGACACAAAGAATGCCCCAACCAACCACAGCAGAGCGCCTTTAAATGGATTTGGCTCCCCGACTGTGGGGGCGTGGCCAAGGCTCTCATTGGCTAACTTGGATCTTAGTAGGCAAGGGGTCAGTCAGATGGTCTGGGAGGGTCCTTCTCGGGTCTGGGTGAAGGAGGGGAACAAACACTTTACAGGCCCTGAGAGCTCCTTTGTAGAATTCTGGCCTGGTATGCATGAGATCTGGGCTTGATTCCCAGCGTCACATAAATGCATGGTTGCCTGTGACTGGAGTCCCAGCACGCAGGATGTGAAGATAAGAGGATCAGAATTCAAGGCCATCCTCAGCTACACAACAAGTTTGAGGCCAGCCTGGGCTACAGGAGATTCTGACTCAAGAAACAAAAGCAAAGAACTAAATAACAAAAAAACCAACCAAACAAACAAACCCAAACCAAAAAAAAAAAAAAAAAAAAAAAAAAAAAAAAAAAAAAAACCAAAACAAAACGGGGCTGGGCCGTTGGTGCCAAACCTGGCAACCTGGGTTCCATCTCTGGAGCCCAGATGGTGGAGGGAGAGAGTTGGCTCCTGCAAGTTGTCCTCCGACCTCCAACCTTGTGCCATGTGCCACAGATACGTGCCCACACCACCCATACACAAGATAAGCGCAATTTTTTTCTTTTTAAACTGGGGCTTTCTGCTAGCTAGGAGATTGGGCTCTGGTGTCGTCCCCCCCAACCCCAACGCAAGGACCGAATATCAATGTTTTCTTCAGTTCTGCATCTCTCGGGAGTCCAAGGAGTTGGCCTCTGAATGACCCTTCCACGGGCAGAGTGGAAACTCAGCTCAGAGGGCTGCTCCAGGGGTGGAATGGGGTTGTCTAGGCTTGGCAAGAGCTGTGAAGCATCATGGGTGGGAACTGTGCGTGCGTGCGTGCGTGCGTGCGTGCGTGTGCGTGCGTGCGTGTGTGTGTGTGTGTGTGTGTGTGTGTGTGTGTGTGTGTGTCTTTCTGTGGCCTTCCCCAGGGATTATTTTCCACTTCTATCGTGATGTCAGTGGGAGTCCTGGAAACAGAGTTCCTCTGGCTTCTTGGTCCTGTTGTGCAACTCTCTCCTCACTAGTCCCAGAGTGTCCACAGAGGATGGAGAGGGGTTGATGAGAGGGTTTGGAGCATAGACGTGAAGGGTGGAAGGCATCTTGGCCCCTTTGAGGTCCTCGTGTTTCTGGTGGGGACCATGGGAGTCAGCCCAGTTTTACCCTGGGACTTGGCTCAGAGAAAGATGTGGAGACCAGATAAACACGGAGAAAGCACAACTATGAATCCAGTGTGGCTCAAGAAGAGAGCAGGGTCTTGAGTTTTAGCGGTCATTGCTTGCCCTTGCTCTCCAAGGTCCTGGGATGGATTATGGAAGGAATCCGACCCTTAAGGTGGTTGATTTAACTGCATCTGCAGCACTGAGCCACCAGGTGGCGCCAATGCACCGCATCGCTGGCGAGCTCTAGCAAACCAGCTGTGCAGAGAGAGGGCAGCTGCTCAACGGTCCTGTGTCCTGAGATCAGTGATTTTCAGACCTCAGACCTGAGGTCCCATGTCCCTGTGCATCTGATGGAACCTGTCAGGCTGTGGCTCCTCAGTGAGGGGACCCTTCCTCATTCCTACTGCCGGACTGCAAGGGACCACTCAGCCCAGGGCCTCCTCCCTCCCCTGGTCCGGATGGAGCCCGGAGGAATGACTGGGGCTAGCCCTGAGGCTGTCCCCATCAGTCGTGTGACCTTGAACATCTGTTTCTCTCGGGTCCTTCTTCCCTTCAGCGTAAAATCTGGACGTGGGACCGGCGTCTGCGGACCTCTTAACTTTTTTTTTTCCCCCCTGATTGCCTTCTCTGGTCCCTTGAGAGCCCGTGGCTGTTCCCAAAGTCAAGGGGAATTCGACCCCACAGTTGGGCCTGGGTGCTTCGGGGCACCCTTTCCAAGACAACTGGAGGTCTCTCCGATGTGCTGGCCGGCCCGGGCTTTGAGTTTCTTTGCTTTCTTATCTCTCCCCAGCCCCCTGGATGAGATTCCTGCCAGCTGAGAAGGAAGGAAGGGGGGCGAGTCACAGCGTAGAAAGTTTCCTTGACTCCTCCCACCCCACCCCACCCTCCCCGTGTCTCCCTCCCTTGCCAAGCCCAGCCTGTGAAACTGAATAACGAAGATCACTCAACAATGCCTGCCCCTCTCTGACTGCACCGTCCCGTCCCGCCGCCCGCTGTTGCCGCCGCGCCCAAGCCAAGTAGAGCGGGGGGGGGGGGCGGTCCCCACCGACGGCGCAGCCCTCGGGCCCGCCCGGGGACCAGGAGGTGAGCGGCGAGCTCCCTGCCGTGTGCACCCGCCCGCCCGAGCGCCCGCCAGGTGCCCCCACTGCCCGCCGCGCCGCCGAGATGCACCGCACGCCCGGGCTCCTAACGCTGTGGCTCTGCGCGGTGCTGCGCGCTTCGGCGCTCGCAGGCAGCGACCCCCAGCCTGGCCCGGGGCGCCCTGCCTGCCCGGCTCCCTGCCATTGCCAGGAGGATGGCATCATGCTGTCAGCTGACTGCTCCGAGCTCGGGCTCTCGGTGGTGCCGGGGGACCTGGACCCCCTGACTGCTTACCTGTGAGTACTCACCTGCTCGTCCTGCTCTGCGTCATGGCTGCCTGCCCCACAAACACCGTTTGGTGCTCTGGGACATGAGCATCCTAGGAAGGCTCTTCCCCTTCCCAGTCTAAGACTGAGGGGCCAGGGGGCAGAGGAGGGTCCTTAGGAAACTAAGGGCGAGGCAGGGAGTGAGCCTGGGCCTCCCCCCTCTTTCCCAGGTGCTCCCCATCCTCATAGACTCAGCGTGGGAGCCCAGGCCTGGAAAGTGGGGGGTATGAACCCTGAGCAAGAAAATGGGGGAACGCGAGGCTGGGGAGCCCGTTCTTTCCCTGTCTTCCCCAGCAGAACAGTGTCCAGGAGGGTTGATGAAGGCATACGTTACCGCCCTGGTGTGAGGTGAGGGGAGTGTGTCCCCAGGAGAGAGGGAACAGATTCCTCTACCACAGCAAGAAGCAGAACTGTCCCTCGGAGGAGGCAGGGGGCCTTGGTGAGGGGTCCCTGCCACTCACTCTCTTTAGAAAGGGATTCTGCCCGCCCTATCTTTTTGTGTGGAGGTCTTCTGCCCCCTCCCCAGGCCTCCCTGAAGTCACGTCCCAGGAGGCTGTGTTAGAGACACTAATTTGTGGGCAGACTCCCAGACTGAAAACCAGAGAGCCATTTTTAGAGTCTGAGTTGGGGTGAGGTGGGGCAGGAAGGGGACCCTACTGGGGGTAGCTGTCCCAGAACCAGACAGCCAGAGGCTATAACTGCTCACTACCTGAGCAGGAGGGGATGGGCACATCCCAGACCACCTGGCTCCCTCTCCTGCTCCGGGAAGAGGAAACCTCTGGCTTTCTCGGCTTTTCCTCAGAAGGCAGCTAGCAGGTGGAAAAATCTGGGTAGGATCCCAGGGCTCCCCCAGGCCTGGGAGAGGCTGTCTCCACTTTGAGGTCCTAGTACCTCAGGAAGAGGGAGTTGGGCTTGTCCCAAAAGACTCAGCAGGGGGCCAGGATGCACTGAGGGGGCAGTGTCCTAGTGAGTGTGTGTGTGTGACCCTCATTTAGAGCCTCTAATGGGGCCCCTTATGGGGCTCTGGCCCACCCTCCTACACCCCCAGAAGTCCTGTGTCTGGCAGTTTTATGCACTAGGGATCTATGAGATTGTTTCGTTGGAAGATGGGACAGATGGCTAGAACAAGTTTAGAAATAAAGTCTATTGAGTCTTCTTTGGGGACAGCAGAAGAGAAGGCTCTTGCCTTTGGTAAAGGGCAGAGGATACAGGACCTTCCAGAGCATGGCAGGTCAGACCACCTACTTTTCTCAGCCCTCAGGACATTCTAGAATAATCTGTGGATCTATTCTGGCAGGACTTGGGGACAGAGGTAAAGAGCTTCACTTTGGGGATCCAAGTGTCCCACCACCCAGGCTGACAGCTCCCTGGCACTCCGACCCAGCGCCCTCTGATGCAAGGCATCTTTGGGGTGGAGGAGGAGAGGGTTTCTGAGCTCTTCCTGAGCCCTCTTAGGTGTCGAGGAAAGCCTTTTCTTCTAAGACTCAAGATAAGGCTCAAGAGTGTCTCTGAGGGCAGAAGGGAGGGCTGGGCATGGGTTCTGGGGTGGTGTAGGGAATTGTGCAGCAGTGTCTGCGGTGGTGGAGGGAGGTGGAGAGGACAGTCCCTCTGGCCTTGGCTTTGCAGGGGTCCCAGGTGGGTGACGGAGGAGGAGGGGCAGCGGCTGTCCACAGGTGGCTCAGATCTAGGCGAATCCTTCCTTCTTTGCCTTCTCAGGAGAGCTGCAAGGGCATTTTACGTCACTGTGTGTGTGTGCTTGTGCGTGCATGCGTGTGTGTGTATGCTTGTGCGTGCGTGTGTGTGCATGTGTGCGTGTGTGTGTGTGTGTGTATGTGTGTGCTTGCCTTCTCAGGAGAGCTGCAAGAGCATTTTACATCACTGTGTGTGTGTGCTTGTGCGTGCATGCGTGTGTGTGCATGTGTGCGTGTGTGTGTGTGTGTGTATGTGTGTGTGCTCGCCTTCTCAGGAGAGCTGCAAGGGCATTTTACGTCACTGTGTGTGTGTGCTTGTGCGTGCATGCGTGTGTGTGTATGCTTGTGCGTGCGTGTGTGTGCATGTGTGCGCGCGCGCGTGTGTGTGTGTGTGTGTGTGTGTGCCAACCTCATGCTTGGATTCCCAGAAGTGATCTGCATGTCTTTTGGAGGAAGGATTTTACTAATCTGGAGCTCACTGAGGGATCTAGGCTGGCTGTCCTGGGAGTCCCAGGGATCTAACTGAATGCATCACCCTATTCTGGAATTACACGTGCACACCACCGTGCCCACTGTCTTTCATGGCTTCTGGGGTTAGGAATCAGGTCTTCATGACTGTGTATCAAACATACTATTGTTCTGAGACCCCCCCCCAGTTCTGTAAAGGTAGCAAGAGATGGACCTTGAGGAGCCAAGGGGGTCTGGGGGCCCCTTCCCCTCCTGGCAACCTGAGGACCCTGCCTGTGGGTCATAGAAGACACTGGCGGTCCCTCTTGTGGCTTCCTTGACAGAATCTCAGTACAAATTACTTGACATCTGCTTCCCACCCCGGAATAGTAAGGCTCCTTCCTAGGCTACACTTGTCACAAACGGCTTCGTCCACCTCCCTCCATTCCAGTTTCAGAGGACACCAGAACTCCTTTATTTCTATGTATTTGAAATACAAGTCCACAACCCATGAGCACTCTGGGGCCCAGTGCCAGCCCTGTTTGATCAAGGTTAGGAGTCACCCATTTATACACAGCTCTTCAAGTGTCTCTAAAGGGCTCCCCCCCCTCACTGGGCCAAGGCTCAGTGAAATTTGTGTGTCCCTGGGGGGAGGCCCCTTATGGAAAGGGATGGAAGGAAGAAGCCACTGACCCTGGGACACTGCAGTGGTGTTGTGAGTGGCAGGTGTCCCTGTGCTACTGCCAGGACTTTGACTCTGTGCCAGGCGGTGATAACCAGCGGGGTTTGTGTGAAAGGTCAGGTGAGTTTGAGTGCTCGTGAGCATGCTTCTTTGCACGTGTACACTCACCTGTGTGTAATTCAGGGTAATTAGCATCCCTCATCATTGCCCAGGGTAACCAAACAGATGGAGACAGAGAAGCAGAAGAAGAGAACAGGCTGGGCAGTGGTGGCACACGCCTTTAGTCCCAACACTCGGGAGGCAGAGGCAGGCGGATCTCTGTGAGTTTGAGGCCAGCCTGGTCTATAAGAGCTAGTTCCAGGACAGCCTCCAAAGCTACACAGGGAAACCCTGTCTTGAGGCGGGGTGGGGGGAGGGTTGAGGATTGCTGTAAAAGGCCATGCTGGCTGAACCTGGGCAAACTGCTCAGATACTTGGTTTCCTCATCTATAAATGAAGCGAATGCCCGATTCAAGTGGCTGCTGTGTGGATTCACTGAGGCAGTGTCTGCAGAGGGTTTGGTAAAGGGTGGAAGGCAGAAAGAGCAATGTTCGTGTGTTGGCATTATGGAGCCAGAGTCAGGAGGTAGTTGTGTTGGAAGGCTTCCTGGAGGAGGAGACCCTGGGCTAGCATTGCAAAGAGGAGAAGCAGTTGTAGGGCAAGTCTGTGTATGTTTTGTTTGTTTGTTTGTTTGAGACAGGGTTTCCCTGTGGCTTTGGACCCTGTCCTAGAACTTGCTCTGCAGACCAGGCTGGCCTCGAACTCACAGAGATCCACCTGCCTCTGCCTCCCGAGTGCTGGGACTAAAGTGTGCCCCCAACGCCCTGCTTGCCTCTCTGTGTGTTGGGGGCTGTGGCAGGAGAGCACACTGCCAAGCAGGCAATGGTAGCTACCCTGGGGGTCCAGAACACCTTTACCAGCCAGTAGAGTCTTCACGCAATGGGAGGAGAGTGACCGGGGGAGGGGGGCTAGCCTGCTCTCCTGCTTGCTCCGCCGAGTTCCCAGAGGACTGTCAGATGAGGAAGCAGAAGGCCAGTCAGGGAACACTGGCCCTGGGGCGGGTGTATGTGGGCATCACTCTGTGCGCTGTCTTCCTCACCTCGGCGGCTCCCTTCCTGGTCCAGCCTCCACTACCTCCCTAGCAGACTCTGAGACATCATACTTCTGCTGTGAAGCACAGTATTCGAGTTCTAGCCCTGAGTCCCTCTGTGGGTGGGAGACCCCAGCTAAGTCCTGGGGGTTCTCTGGATCTCTGTGCCCTACATTTCTGCTGCAAGCAGAAAAGGATAGGTATGGAACCCCGCCGGTGTGGGACAGGGAGGGCTGGTGTGTGTGTGTGGGGGAGGGGTGGAGTAATTCCAGGAAGTGGGGTCCCCAGGGCCCCCCTCCTTGTGGAAGGAGCCTGGGGGGTTGCTGGGGGAGAGTGGCTGTACGGGAGAGCCGACACCCCAGTTCAAAGGGAAGGCAGGAGACAGCCTTAGGCAAAAAGAAAAGGAAACCTCTGGGCTCTGGCAGCAGCGGGCATGGGTGCGGCTGGGTGGGGTGCTGTAAGAGAAGAAAGCCTGGCTCAGAGGGAGTTGGCCCCCAGCCCACCCAGCACCACCACCTTCCCCCTCCCGAGGGTTCCCACTGTGGATGGTCCCTTGTGCCACAGCTTACTTCCTGCACTGGCCCGGGCCCACGACTGACAGATGATGAATAGGGCATGGGAGAAGGTGTCCATATGGGTGCCACTAGCTAGGTATTGGTAGGACGCCAGGCTCTGGAGATTGCCAGGGGCAACTCCGGCATGGGGGCGGTGTCTCACCCTAGGCCCAAAGTTTCAATTTCTTAAGCTAAAATGGAAACACTACTTGTGCCTATCTAGAAGGGAGGTCCGGGGGAGCAAAGGGGACTGGGAAGCATGGCATGTGTGGCTCCTTTTCATAGTACTGACACTTAAAGAGCATTGCCTGGGTGCCATGTTTTCGTTTCCCTCAGCACTTTCAACTACAAGTGCCCCAAGAGGTCCAGAAGGCGTGTGTGTGTGTGTGTGTGTGTGTGTGTGTGTGTGTGTGTGTGTGTGATCCAGGAGCTTCGTCTTTTGGGGCTCTTCAGAGGGCTCCTCCTTC